TCAATTTTTGTACTGGCCCAATTTTTTTTGTCAGAACGCCCTATTTTCAGAAATTGATTTTCTTTTTTGGGTGAAAATAATTAGAGTTTGTTTCAGCAGCATTTTTTGAAGATGTTCAAAAGAAATTATTGTTAAAAAATTGTGTCTCTCCGTGTCTGCATTTTTGGTGTTTTTTCTTCCATGGTGGGTCTTCCTCTTCTTTTGGTAGTGTCTTCATTGCCATTTTCAGCCAGCACTCAACTCTCCCTGTCTTCTGTGTTGTACTGAAAACTGTGTCAAACTAACAAGCTGTCACTTTCATTCCTGAGGGGTTTCCTGGTTCAGCGGGCAAGCTCAGTAGGGGAACATGCACAATCAAAGTCAGTCTGCAGAAAGCCAGCTATGGTGAGGTGACTGGTGTCTCTCTGCCTAAGGGAGCAGCCTGTTTTGTCTCTCTGTTATTTGGCGGTCTTGTGTGGGTTCTGGATTATCAGAAATAAAGTCATGTTATATTGCAAATTTCCAGCAGTCGTCTTTGATATTTTTCTCTAACATCTCTTGAATGCAACATTTAGACATCGGTCAAAACCAAAAGATGAAAGCCAGCCCCATTAATGCCAACAGCAAAATGCCTATTGACTTTAGTGAGTCAGGATTTCTTCCCAAGATCTTTTTCATTGTTCAGATATTCATAGCTTCTCAGGCCAGAGGGGACCATTGTGATCATGTAGTCTGACCTGTATAGCACAGGCCAAAGAACGTCTCTGAATTAATTCCTCGTTGAATGACAGCAGATCTTTGAGGAAAAAATCCCATCCTGATTTTAAAATTGCCAATGATGGACTATCTACCACGACTCTTGAGAAGTTGTTCCAATGATTAATTCCCCTCACTGTTAAAAATTTATGACTTATTCAAAGAAGAGCCATGAGCATGATTAAAGCACAGGAAAATTTGGCTTATAGTGAGACACTCAATCTATTTAGTTTCACAAAGAGAAGTTTAATCACAGTCAACAAGAATCTACACCTGGAACAAATATTCAGCACAGGCTCTTTAATCCAGCAGAGGAAGGTCTGTCATGTCCAATGGCTTAAAGTTGAAGCTAGACAAATTCAGACTGGAAATAAGGTGTCAATTTTTAATGGTGAACATAATTAACCATCAGAACAATTTACCAATGGGTGCGATGGATTCTCCATCATTGACTATTTTTAAAGCAAGACTGGATGTTTTCCTAAAAGATCTGCTCTAGGAATTAGCTTGGGGAAACTCTATGGACCATACTGAGGAGGAGATCAGATGAGATGATCACTATGACACCTCGGCACCCCAATAGTCACTGTTGTCGTGTAATTAGGATATGTATTGTACAAAGTATGTCTTGTGAGGTATTGTTCTAAAAGTCTTGATCTGCTAGACATTAATATCTTGTTATATTGTATGAGCTATCATTGTACATGAAGTTATGAAGTTTGGCTATGTATGTGTTACTGAAACATGTTGTGAGGTTGAAAACACCCACCAGCAGCCTTTCAGGCACAACAGTAAAAAGGCCAAACAATGTTAATGGCTTACTGAGGAAATGCACACAAGCACAAGGACTACCCCAGGAATTGTGTGCAATAGAAACCTCTCGGTGATAGCACTACACAATGGGAACTGTTTCACCCAGGTCACAGCAAAAGAGCTTTCCAGCAAGTGGGAAGAAAATATAAAAGGAGGACAATGACATCATGATGGTACCTCACTCTTGCTACAACAACACACCTGGAAACACCTGAGGAACAAGGACTGAACTATGGGAAGTAATGGTCCCAGGCTAGAGGGATTTTTAGCCTGTGTATAAAAAACTGGAAAAACCAAGGCAGCTTGTGCCTTAAGAATTTGCCAGCCTGTTTATCACTCAGTGTGAGAATTGGCTAATTCATATCCTACCTATTTAGTGTGTTAAGCTCAGTTTGTGGTTTTTGTTTATTTAGGTAATCTGCTTTGATCTGTTTGCTGTCACTTATAATCACTTTTAATCTATCTTTTGTAGTCAATAAACTCGTTTTGTTTTGTCTAAAAAAAGTGTGTGGAAATTATAGGGTGGGGCAGAAAGCTGTGTATATCTCTCTCCACATTGAGGGAGGGGGCGAATTCCATGAGCTTACTCTATACCCGGGGTTCCCAACGCGGTGCCCGCGGGCGCCATGGCGTCTAAGTGCACCAGCATACCGGCCGGCGGATGAGCATCTGCTGAAATGCAGCTGAGAAGCAGCGTCATCCAGAGGCATTGCCGCTGAAATGCCGCCGATTTGGATGATGATGATGATTCTTGGCGGCATTTCAGCGGTGACGCCTATTGACATTGATGCTTGTTGGCGGCATTTCGGCAGATGCTCGTCCGCCGCCACGGTCCTCCGTGGCTCGTCGTATGGCGGGCACCAGACGAAAAAGGTTGGAGACCACTGCTCTATACAGTTCTCTGTGCAACACAAGATGGTACAATTTTGGGTTTACCCTCTAAAGGGAGGTAGGCACTTGCGTACTGGGCAACTCCTTAGCTGAGCCTTCCCATGAATAGCTGATCTCAGCACCTGTGTTTGTAGCTGCAGCTGGGTGTGTCCCTACCTAAGTGCAGTCTGAAGCCTGGGGAAGGATTTGAAAGGCTGCACAGCAGAACAGTGTTAAGGGAACCCAGGCTGGTGGGTCACACGGGCTCCGTGGTACCCCAGTTCCAAGAGGCACCCCAGGGGAACTCATCACAATCACAATGTCACCTTCTGGGCTTGTCATCTGTGAATCTGTGTCTTTGTCTAGCTTCAACTTCCAGCCAGTGGATCGTGTTAGACCTTTGTGTGCTAGATCGAAGAGCCCATTATCAAATTTGGCTTCCCCCTGTAGGTATTTACAGCTGGTAATCAAGTCATCCCGTCAGCTTCCCTTTCGCTTGGTCTACACTAGGCAACTTATAATGGTACAACTATGTTGCTCGGGGATGTGGAAAACCCACCCCCTGGGTGATGCTGTTATACCGACCTAACGCCCGGTGTAGACAACGCTTCTCCCGTCAACACAGCTACCACCTCTCGGGGAGGTGGATTAACTACGCCAATGGGAGAAGTTTTCCCATCCACATAGACAGCTGCATTGATGCAGCCTTCCAGGTGTAGACATGCCCTGTGATAAACGGAACTGACTGAGCTCCTGGATTCTCTCTCTGTCAAGCTCTGACCCCAGGCTGTTAATCCTTCTCGTGGATCTTCTCTGAGCCCTCTCCAGCTGCTCAACCTCCTTCTTGAAAGGCGGGCACCAGAAGCGGACACAGGATCCCAGCTGTGGTCACACCAGGGCCAGATCCAGAGGGACAATCACCTCCCTGCTCATAATCAAGATTCCCCCAGCACGGCTGCAGCCCTGTTGGCTCTGGGAGCTCACGTTAAGCTGAAAAGTGTCCCTATGCCTGAGAGACGAAGGCAGGTTGGAGGCTGTACTGTGGTTTGTGTGGTCTCCAGCATAGAGCGAGGGTTTCCTTAGCATTCGCTGGCCTGTAACATGGCCAGAGGCCGAGGGGTGAGTTCCCTGCAGCAAAGGTAGGGCGGAGAATCTCATGCATCCGACTCCCAGCAGGGCTCTGTTCGCTTTCCACAGCCAGGATGGAGTAGAGGGCAGAGTCCTAGCTGGAGTCTCTGCTTCTGGACCTCACTTGGTGGACTCGGCTGGATGTGGCTGTCTCAGCCCCTGGTCTCTGCTGGGGGCCCCGCTCACCTGCCCCCGGATGTCAGCAGCCGAATGCAGACACCTGGCTAGGGCCCAGCGGCAGGGTGTGGGAGAGCTTGTGGTTCGTATGATGTCTACATGTAGCAGTGGATGCTGAAGACCTTCCAGGCTTTGCAGATGTGATTGGACCCAGCCACGTCCTGTGATCTCCCCTCATTGTCGTCCCCCCCCAGATATACCCTCACAAGAACGGCTTCCTGCTCTGGGCTGAGCCAGTTGGGGCGAGCTGCAGGCATCGCATCGTGGACCTGGGACGGGGGTTGACTGAGATGCTGCATCCCTGCAAGACAAAGGTAAGGAAATGAGCTAAACCTTCCAGCTGCCCCCCTGGATCTCATTCTCACCTCCCATCACTGCCCCCTGGATCTCACCCCTTCCAGCTGCCCCCATCTCCTCCCCTCATCTGCTTTGGATAGAGCCAGCTGAAAATATTTGTGGGTCCTGTTGTCAGAGGTCAGGGGCCCCCGTCATGCTGTGTGTTGCAGAGACCCCGACTGAGCTCGGGGGCTCCGTCGTGCCAGACACTGCACAGACTCACAGGGAGAAACAGGGCTGGCCAGAGCGAGCTCACTCTCTAAACAGACAAATGTTTGGAGGGGAAGCTGAGGCATGGGGCCGTGACATGACTTGTCCAAGCTCTCCAAACAGTTCAATGACAGCGTCGGGGATGGAACACAGGAGTCCGGACTCCCTGTCTACCCACTAAAATAGACTCTTGCAATTAAAACAAAAATCTTTTGACTTCTTACTGGTCTCCCATTGTGTTTTGCCACCGTACTTTTCTCCTCTTGGGGAGTTGCTCTCCATCACTGGAGGTTTCCATGGGGGTGGGGTTCAGTGGGGATTTTACTAGCACGGCTCCAGTAACTCATGCCCCCCGCCCCCCACAAATGGCCTAAACCACACAAAAACTCCACTTCAAAATGGAGGCGGGGGTGGGGGGAGGAGAATCAATTTCAAAAGTTTCATTATTTAAAAAATAAAGGGAGGGGAAAAGATCATTCTGTTTTTTTTTTAACCAAGAGGGGAATAACCAACTCCTTAGGGAAACTAACAGCAAGAAATCCAACTTTTCAGCAAGAAGCAAAGGGGTGTATTTTTTAAACATTTGGTTTAGTAGAAACCAAACTCTGTCCTTGTCCTCTCCTGGAGCCCGTTTCATTGCTCTTCCTTCCTTTACTCAGTACAACAACTCTGCTGCCTCCGCCCAGCCCTGCAGAGGAGTACGGGATACTGTGACTGCAACTCTTCCATGAATGGAGTTCCCAGTCCTCTTCCTGGTGCTGTGTGTTGTGGCCTTCCTCGCCGGGATGCCATTAAACAGCTACGCCCTCTTCATGGCCAGCTGCCGTGTGGAGAGGACGGCCAGTGCCGTGTGGTTCTTGAGCCGGGCTGCGGCAGATTTCATCTTCATTATCTTCCTGCCCCTCAGATTCTTCATCCTGGACTTAGACTGGGCCAAGGTGCTGAGCAGCACCGTCACCTCCTTCCACATGTTCTTCAGCGCCTTCCTCCTCACAACCCTCAGTGTCGATCGCTGCATCCTTGTGGCATGCTCTGAGTGGTACGGGAACCACCGCACGCCCCCACTGGCTTTCAGGATGGTTATAGGCATGTGGACCCTGTCTCTTGGGTTCAGTTTGCGGTACGGTGATCTCTGGGAATCCCTGCTTTCACCAACCAACACCAGCATGTATTTCCAAGTGGATGAAAGGAGGGTGAAGGCCGCTATTGCAATCCAGTTCCTGGTTGGGTTTCTGATCCCATTAGCCATGATCCTGATCCCAACCTTCTACATCGTTCTAGCTGCCAAGCTGAGAAGGAACAGGATGATCCAGTCCACCAAGTCCCTCAAGATCCTTCTTGGCTTGATCCCGACCTTTTTCCTTTGCTGGCTGCCGTATCATGTTTTCTCCTTCCTGCAGATCTCAGCTACGTACCCTCAGACTCTTCTGAACATAGGAAGCACTTTTTCTTGTGTCCTGACATATTTCAGCAGCTGCCTCAACCCCATCTTCTACCTCACCATGGAGGAAGAGTTTCAGAGGTACCGGCAACAAGCACGCAACCCCCAAACCACTGACAATTCAGGGCCAGAGCTGGCTGAATAGGGGAATGGATGGAATTTTCTAGATTTGCATGGAGAAAGAATTCTGTTCGCTGGACCCATAACTTCCTCTTGATCCCCAAATTGTCTTTTTTTAGAAAGTGAATTTTTTTGCCTTAATCAAAGAAGAGCCATGGAAATGATTATGCGATTAGAAAACCTGCCTCAGAGTGAGAGTCACAAGGAACCCCATCTATTTATCTTAACAAAGAGAAGATGAAGGCGTGCCTTGATCACTCACAGTCTGTAAGTACCTCTGTGGGGAACAAATATTTAATAAATGGCTCTTCACTCTAGCAGAGGAAGGTCTAACACAATCCAGTGAACAGAAGCTGAACCTAGACAAATTCAGACTGGAAATGAGGTGTAAATTTGTAACGATCAGAGTAACTGACCATTGGAGCAATTGCCCAATGGATCCTCCATCACTGGAATTTTAAATCAAGCTGGGATGTTTTTCTAAAAGCTCTGCTCTGGGAATTATTTTGGGGCAGTTCTCTGGTCGGTGTGATCGGGGAGGTCTGAAGAGATGATCACGCCAGTCCCTCCCAGCCTCAGAATCTGTGAATCATTTTAATGAAATATATAGATTTTTGGTTGTGTTCATTTTTAGATCATTTTGGAGCGATTGATTCTTTATGGTCTGTCCTTTTCTTCGTCTTTGTGTCATTATTTTTCTCATCATGCCATCTTCTTATTATCTATTCCTTTCTTAATAATTCCTGACAGATTGTTGGCTTTTTTGATGGCCGCTGCACATTGAGTGGGTGTTTTCAGAGAACTATCCACAATGACTCCAAGATCTCTTTCTTGAGTGGTAACAGCTAATTTAGAACACATCCTTTTATATGTATAGTTGGGATTATGGTTTCCAATGTGTATTATCAACACTGTACTTCATCTGCCATTTTGTTGCCCAGTCACCCAGTTTTGTGAGACATCTTTGTAACTCCTCTCAGCCCTCTTTGGACTTAACTATCTTGAGTAGTTTTGTATCATCTGAAAATTTTGCCATCTCACTGTTTACCCCTTTTTCCAGATCGTTTATGTTGAACAGTACTAGTCCCAGTACAGACTCCAAGGAGACACTGCTATTTACCTGTCTCCATTATAAAAACTGACCATTTATTCCTACCCTTTGTTTCCTATCTTTTAACTAGTTACTGATCCACTGGAGGACTTTTCCCCTTATCTGAGGACAGTTTACTTTGCTTAAGAGACTTTGGTGAGGGACCTTGTCAAAGGCCTTCTGAAAGTCCAAGTACACTATATCCACTGGATCACCCTTGTCCATATGCTTATTGACGCCCTCCAAGAATTCTAGTTGATTGGTGAGGCATGATTTCCCACTACAAAAACCATGTTGATTATCCCCAATAAATCATGTTCATCATTATGTCTGACAATTTTCTTCTTTACTGTCATTTCAACCAGTTTGTCCGGTACTGAAGTCAGGGTTACCAGCCTGTTATTGTCAGGGTCATCTCTGGAGCCTCTTTTAAAAGTTGGTGTCACATTAGCTATGCTCCAGTCATCCGGTACAGAAACTGATTTAAGTGATAGATTACATGCCACAGTTAGTAGTTCTGCAATTTCACATTTGAGTTCCTTCAGAACTCTTGGGTGAATGTCATCTGGTCCTGGTCATTTATTACAATTTAGTTTATCGATTTGTTCCAAAACCTCCTCTAATGACACCTCAATCTGGGACAGTTCCCTCAGATTTGTCACCTAGAATCATAGAATCATAGAATAGAATCATAGAATCATAGAATCATAGAATATCAGAGTTGGAAGGGACCTCAAGAGGTCATCTAGTAC